AGGTGGTGCGCCTTGCCCCATAGCCTGTTTTTGGCCCCAGGAGGCTTCAGGGAGGCCTGCTAGGCCCAAAACAGGGCGTAGGTGGTGCGCCTTGCCCCATAGCCTGTTTTTGGCCCCAGGAGGCTTCAGGGAGGCCTGCTAGGCCCAAAACAGGGCCTAGATGATGCGCCTTTCCCCACGGCCTGTTTTTGGTCCCAGGAGGCTTCAGGGAGGCCTGCTAGGCCCAAAACAGGGCCTAGATGATGCGCCTTCCCCCACGGCCTGTTTTTGGTCCCAGGAGGCTTCAGGGAGGCCTGCTAGGCCCAAAACAGGCCTAGGTGGTGCGCCTTCCCCCACGGCCTGTTTTTGGTCCCAGGAGGCTTCAGGGACGCCTGCTAGGCCCAAAACAGGGCCTAGGTGGTGCGCCTTCCCCCACGGCCTGTTTTTGGTCCCAGGAGGCTTCAGGGAGGCCTGCTAGGCCCAAAACAGGGCGTAGGTGATGCGCCTTCCTCCACGGCCTGTTTTTGGTCCCAGGAAGCTTTATGGAAGCCTGCTAGGCCCAAAACAGGGCGTAGGTGGTGCGCCTTTCCCCACAGCCTGTTTTTGGTCCCAGGAAGCTTCAGGGAGGCCTGCTAGGCCCAAAACAGGGTGTGAAGTGTGTGTGTGTGCGGTATGCATGCACAGGGAAGGCGGGAGGGCGGGGTGCACGGGGGTGTGTGTCGCACACGCATTCCTTTATGGGTGCTGTCACACGCACGCGCACACACACACACTTTCAGCATGCAACGACAAGGCCACTGCTCTAGAGCTACCTGATCTATGTGAAAATAGGAAGGTGAGCTAATGACATCTATGTGTGGGATCTGATGGGCAATCCCTAGCCCTTTCCTGAAGAGCATCATCTCACTCACCTGTAAAATCATGTGCTTCTGCTCTTGACCATTCTCTGAAGCGGGACTGGGTACCGCCTTTACTATATTACTTAAATCTACGCCTAAAGGAGAGATAAAAATGATGAATCAGAATCAGTCTGAGTATTTACAGAGCCATTCCCCGCTAAATGCATTGGATTTTAGGTCCTTTAGGGCCAGCCAACATGCCAATCTGATAAAAGCTGTACTGAAGACTGACCATGATGGGCAAAAGCCCTTTTTTTGCAAAAAATTAGGAAAACCAAAAAAAAGTTTACTGAGGAACTTCTTGACAATTAAGATATTTGGTATTATCAATTAGTAACTTATTTTCTCTTTGGGGTGACTATACGGGCAAGGCAAATGACTTTTATAAGGTGGTGCTCAAATTATTCCAGCATTTTGGGGAATGGCTGCACTGTATTCACACTATAACATTTTGATATACTGAGACTGTTTTAACAATACTTATTTTTAGAAGAAAATTCAGATCATTTTCATATTGGGGAATTTTTTCTCCTGATTGCCAATTTTCTTGGGAAGCCAAGTGACTGCTGGCACAGGTGCCGATGTCTAAAAAAGATGACATTTCATGTAGGTGAATATTCCCATCCCTTCATACCATACCTTGAGATTCAAACTGCTGGATGGCTTCATTCACTGCCTCTTCTGGATCCATTCCAAACTCAACGATATTTTCCTGTACCACATCATCAAATGTCTCTTGGGAAATCCACTTGGCTGCCATGTTGGCCTGCAGACAAGAAATTTAGCTAGGTATTTTATATAGAAGGAAAAGGAATTTTAATAAAAGGAAAAGGAAACCTGGCATAATAAAGTAAACTAGCTGATAACCCGGCGTCGCCCGGGCATTTATTTATCCTAATCCATACATTTGTCCTCAAAAATAACCCTGGACCAAATGTAATTTCTAATGTTGGATTTTCTCCCTTACCAGAGGGAGCCCTCTTGTGGAGTGAAGCCGTTACCATGGCAACTCACTGCGCTGTACAGTAGAAGTCATTTTACCGCAGTACGGTAGAATCCATTTAGAGGCACAACAAGATGTATCTTATCAGAACACACACACCGCCACAGTATTTGTTTCCAGAGATTAAGTCATCTGTGTACCAAGTTTGGTTGAAATTGCTCGAGGCATTCCAGAGTTATGCTGGAACACACCCACACTGCACCGTTTTTATATATATAAAGCCAGGAAAGTATGAGAAGAGAAGTATGGATAAAGTTACTCCCCTCTCTCCCAAAAGCCAAAAATCCAAGGCCATGCAATGCTGCAGGAAGAAAACAAACCTTATTTTCATACAAATCATAATGAAAAAGTGGAATTCTTCACAAGTTAAGGCAATGAACCTATTTTGCAGACCTTTTAGAAGTCAGAACATATTTATTGCAGGTATTAGCAACTCTAGAGTAACAGAAATTCCAGATACAGGTTCATAGCTCAGCTGTTGGGAGCAACAGAAGGGAACATAGCAGAGGTCCTTGATACTCTCTAAGCTTGCAACAAGGCTCATGTGCCACTTCGGGCACACATGCCATAGGTCAGTGATGGTGAACCTTTTTTGGCTTGCGTACCATAAGCGGGGGGAGTGCAGGTGGTCATGCGCCAGCGTGCTGCACCCATAATGCAATGCGCAACCCCCCCCAGCGCACATGCATGCATGACCCATTTTTTGCATGCTTTTTTTGCCCTCCCCAGCCCCCCCACCCCCGAGGCCCTCCGGAGGCTTCAAAAACTTCCCTGAAGCCTCCGGAGGGCAAAAAACGACCTTACAAGCAAACCGGAAGTACTTCCGGTTTGCTTATAGGGCCACTTTTAGTCCTCCAGAGCCTTCAGGAAAGCCTCCGGAAGGCTCCTGAAGGCTCTGGAGGGCTTAAACTGGCATGTCCCTGAACTTCCGGTTTGCCGGTAGGGCCGTTTTTTTGCGCTCCGGAGGCTTCAGGGAAGCTCCTGAAGCCTCTGGAGGGCCCCTGGGAGGGAGCTATTTTCGCCTTCCCCTGGCTCCTATAAAGCTTCTGGAGCCTGGGGAGGGCAAAAAATGGCTTGAAAAAAGGATGAACTCAGCACATGCGCGCTGGCCAGCTGACAGGGCAACGCCTCACGTGCTCTGACAAATGGCTCCGTGTGCCACCTGTGGCACTTGTGCCATAGGTTCGCCATCCCAGCCATAGGTTCATCATCACGGAGATAGGCAGAGGAGCTGCCCAGGGGGCATGTGCACACCGGAAAATGAACTTCCGGTTTCCAGAGCGCACATGTGTGTGGCCATCAAGCCTTCCAGTTACTGCTGCGCATGCGCACGCACCAATTAGCTGGCCGGAAGACATGCTCACGCCAGAAAAAGGAGACCAGCTCTTCCGGTTTCCAGCACTGCCGCACGCACGAGGGCCAACTGACCGTTGCGTGTGCATGCATGCCAGAAACACGGAAAAGGAATGGGCAACGTCGTTCGTGCCAGGCGACATGGCTCGTGTGCCACTTTGGGCAAGCGTGCTATTGGTTTACCATCACGGGGATAGTCCGATTCTACTTGAAGAAGACAGTTCCGGAATCAGCGAAGGCCCAGCATATGATCAATAAAAAAAATAAGGCTCTATTCACTGGTTTTCAATGTGGGGAGGGAGATAAGAGAGCAGTAAAAAGGGGGCGGAGACAGAGAAATATAAAGTAAACACTTCTGAAAGTTAAATAATAGAACGAAAAGCTAGAAAGGAAACAGTTTGGGAATAGATAGTCCCAGTTCCTCACCTTCTCTTTTTGCTGCACTTTAATAGCTGCCAGCTGGGGAAAAAAGGCTGAGAAAGAGAAAGCCCAGAGCAGCCGATCTTTCATTTGAACAGAGGCTCATGCTCCAGAGAACACTGATCTCAGCTGTTGCAAGGAGAAGCAAAGCACCTCTGTAATTTCAAGGCTGACCTCTGGCAACAGGGAATGGATTTTCTTTTGCGGAAACACAGATGCTTTTCTCCAGAATTGCCTCCCCCCCCTCCCTCTCTCCCCAAAAGAAGAAGGTGCAAGAAACAGGCTAAGCTGTGCCAAAGGTGGTTTGGCAGAATGCCCAAGGAGGCTATCCCTGCGAAAACAACCATCTTGGAAATTTCCTCCCCAATAATAGCTTAACCTTGACCATGCTAGCATCGCTAAATGATCTGTATTCCAGTACAAACCCTGATTTAAACGCAATCAAGGAAAGGCATTCGTTTATACTACGGATTACAATGAAAAATTGTAATCCATCCAATAGGATGATGTTCAAATGTATGCTGCTTGCTGTGATGCTGAAGAAATACCAAACGAGTCCTTTATGGTTTGCAATAATAGCTTCCAATTTTGCTGCCCACCCCATGCATTTTCTGGATTTGCATTTCATTTATGGATACTGTGAATTAAGGACTTCTGTCCTGATCTTGTTGCATATACATGCTTTAAGGAAGAGCAGTCACATACCGCAGAAACCAATATTACATATTTTATTCTTTGCAAGCATTCTTGCTATCAACGATGGGAAAGACTATAGACAACACACTCCTCCCACAAGGATGTAAGTATTACCACCATCTCCTGCCTTTGCAAATAGCCACTATTAATAATGTAGCTATTATCATCTGCCTTACCGCATTTCATTTCTCTGACTTCACTTTTTATGATTCTACTTTCCATTCACACACACACACCTATAGCAAGACATTTCAGGCATCTGATAAGCTAGACTGTAATCCTCATAAGACATTTGCCCCAAAGATATATGCTTATTTTTTTTTACAGATCATAGCAATCCACATTTATCTATTTGCAAAGATGACCCAGGTAAATTAAGCTGCTTATAAATATTTGGGAATAGAATTAAATGCTTCTGAAATTCATTATGCACAACTGACAGGCTCAGAAAGACACGGTCATCCATTAGAATATAGCAGCTAAATGATAAACTATCAATATACCACCCTGACAGTACTTTTTAAACTGCTCTTGTTTTGTTTGCACTCAGTTCTCCTTCATTGTGTACTGGATATTTATTTTATACAGTTTTTAAGAAGAGATTATATAACCCTTTCTCTGAAATGGAATACGGTTTCCTACCTGAGCAGGAAGTTAGGCTAGAATACCTTCAAGATCCCTTCCAACTCTGTTATTCTGCTATTAAGTAAATGTAACATGAAAAAGCACATATTCTAAAAAATAAGTATTACGTTGGATCTCGTGGCTTTGCAAATCAGCCCAGGTTCACCTTACTTCTCCCTGACTGCAGCTCCAGAAAAGACTGTTGCAGAGTGTTGGGGAAAGGGAGCCTTTAGAACTGGAGATATGCTATGGAATGTCATAATGTCATAAAAATACCTACTTGGCAATAATGGGGGCAACATATTTGAAATATTACCCTCTGTTTATTAAATGAAACCAATGTGGCTCCTTGCAATATTTAAAATACAACAAAATGTAGGAATGGCTGGGGAAACTGCAAAAATACATATCCCCAGCTGTTCATGTTTTTCTGTAATCTTTTTCAGGCAAATGTTTTTCTGTAATGCATTGCTAGCAGAAAGCAAGCATCACATCTTCTAATATTGCTAGGGAGACCCTTCCTATCAAATAAGACTTTTCTGAGTGAAGATTTGATTCCAAAGATAATTACTAAGCAATAAAAGTTTGTGGTCTCTTGTTTGTTAGAATTTAGATTTGTATCACCTCCAAAGAAATGTTTAACCTAAACTAATCATGGGCCATCAGGTTGGTATGGTCTTTTAGCTAACAACACAGGTTCTCTCCATGATTTGTCTAAATAGCTGTAGTGGTTTTTTTCTAATCCAACTTTGCATTGGTGAACGAACCATGCTTTATTTTCATTGTACCGCTAGCTGTCAGGAATCTCACATACAAGGCTGATTAATCCTTGACCATACAGACTTACAAGAATCAAATGATGAAGTTTACATACACTACAATCCCCTCCCCCCCTTTAAGACTCAGCTGAGGGTTCAAAACAGAGAAGACTCTGAGGTTGTTAGGGAAGATAAGGAGGAATGGGAAGGAGCAGAATTAGGATTTCAAACATAAAAAGGGATGTACAGGTAACCCTCGACTTACAGTTCATTTAGTGACCGTTCAAAGTTACAACAGCATTGCAAAAAGTGACTCATGACCATTTTTCACACTTATAACCGTTGCAACATCCCCACAGTGACGTGATTTAGCATTTGGATGCTTGACAATGGTTAATGATGGTTGCAATGACCTGGGGAGGGAGGTGTCACATGATCCCTTTTTGCAACCTAGTCAATGGGGAAGCCAGATTCACTTAACAACCACATTTCTAACTCAACAACTGCAGTGATCCACGTAACAAGCAGGACAAGAAATGTCGCAAAACGAGGCAAAACTCAACCAATTTCTCACTTTTAAGCAACATGAACCGAAGAGGAAGGAAAGAGCCTTTTGATGTGGGGAGAGGAGGAGAGTGCAAAAGATGGCTTGAAACTCAACATTAAGAAAATTAAGATCATGGCATCCAGCCCTTTCAATTCCTGGCAAATAGATGGGGAAGAAATGGAGGTAGATTTTATCTACCTCCATTTATGTAATGCAGATTTCATTTTCCTGGGCTGCAAGATCACCACAGATGGGGACTGTAGCCAGGAAATTAAAAGACGCTTGCTCTTGGGCAGGAAAGCTATGGCAAATCTAGACAGCATACTAAAAAGCAGGGACATCACCCTGACAACAAAAGTGTGTATAGTCAAGGCTATTGTTTTCCCAGTTGCAATGGATGGCTGTGAAGGTTGGACCATACGGAAGGCTGAGCGCCAAAG